GGCTGAGGCAGGAGGATCGCTTGAGCCCAGGAGTTTGAGGTTGCTGTGAGCTAGGCTGATGCCACAGCACTCTATCCCAGGCAAGAGAGTGAGACTCTGTCTCAAAAAAAAAAAAAAAAAGTGTTTGTTTTTCAGAGCTCTTTGGAGTTACAGATGAGAGCCACTGCCCAGGGTTACCCAGATTCATGTGTCAAAGTTGAGACTGGAATCTCTGACCTCACTCCAAAGCCCATGGCTCAACACTATCCACACTTCTCTGGGAGTGAAGACATCAATACAGAAAGGTGGTCACAGCCTCGGACTGAGATCTCTTGGCACCCAAAGCCTGGACTTTTTCAAGCACTCAATGCTAGTACCATTTATGCAGACTTCTAGTGACTTTTTTCAGCAGCAGGGCTGAGTTGCCTGCAGCCATCTACATTTTTTGACTTTGCCGTGGACCCTGGGCTGTGTGTGCCAGCTCACATGGTTTAGAGGGAAGAAGCCTGAGATGGAGGCTTACCTGTATCCCAGCAGGTCTGTCTTCTTAGGGGTCTCTTGTGTTTCCCCTGTCATAGTTGTATGGAAAGCTGGAGGTCGGGTTATGACATTGAGTTCAGCCCTGGCTTTTCTGTTTCCAAACAAGCTCACTTTCTAAGCAAGGAGAAAGAGAATGCCATGGCTGAAAATCCTGTTCTTTCTCTTCTTTATCCGAATTTAATAAAGGTGATGTAGCACATGAGATCTGAGACTGGAACCCTCTAAGAAATCTCTTTGGAAAGAATTGGAAAATCACTGTCCCCAGAAAGGACAAATTTCAGCATCAATCTCATTTTATTTCATTCATTCAGCAAACATTTATTGAGGGCCTTGTCTGCTCTGTGTGAAGCACTGGGGATTGAGGGTTGAATAAGACATACCTCCTTCCTTTGGGAAGCTCACAGACTACCGGTACAGGAGACAGAGCCATATGGGATGTTACTGTGTGAGCCATCTCCAAAGTCGACACATGTAGCAGTGTGAAAGGAGTGATGGAGGAGCGTGAGGGGAGAGGGGGACCCAGCCGGTGGTTGGGTGGGGTGGGATGTGGCTTTACAAAAGCGGTGACATTTGATGCATGGCTGGCCACCATCTCCCGTTAGCTTCCAGATGTCCCCACTCTTGGTTTTCCTCCTCCTTCCTGGGCCTCTCCCTCTCATTTCCTCCTCTATCCTACCTCTTAATGTTGGCATTTTCAGGCTTAAGCCCAAGACCACCCTATTTCCTTTTTCTCTCTCTACGTTCTTTCCCTAGTAACCTCATTCATCTCCTTCACATTACATACCCGCCCTATGTGGACAACCGCCCTATTGCATGTCCCGCCCACATCTCTCTGTTCAATGCCAGACTTAAATGTCCACTTGCCTACTAGTCATCTCCACTTAGGAATTTACAGACACCTCAAAATTAACAAGTTCCAAGTGGGAACTCATGAATCTTACCCCCTACACTTGCTTCTCCTCCTTCCCACCTGACCCATCTCAGGAAATGCTACAATTTTCCACCTGCTTAGGCAGAAAACTTTCTTCTTCCCTCTCTCTTGTCCCTGATGTCTAAATTACCAACCAAATCCTACCAATTCTCTTTCCAAAGTATATTTTGAGTTGATCTACCACTCTCCATCTCTGTTCTTGTATGTGATGGCCAGTCAGGTATGACCACAAGAGGAGACACAGGAGAGGCTCAGGAAAAAACAATGTGTCATACTCACGGGCCCTAAAGACAGGAGGCCCAGTGCACCACGCAGGGCCACGTGGGAAAAATACCAGGGTGGTCAGGAGATAGGAGCAAAGGGAAGCTTGAGGCCAGAGCCCTTATTGGGACTTCCATGGGAAAAGCAGGGCAGGGCAAATTGTTTAGGACTGGCCAGTTTGAATAATTTCAGCAGGCAGGCTTAAAGCTATAGCGGTGTCCTTAGTTGTCTGGTACCTGGTCCTGATGGGATGATTAAGGCCCAGTCATATTGCCTCCTGGGGTATATGGACCAGACAGAGGAGGTCTGGCTCCAGATTGGTTTGTCTGTATATCAAAGGCATACTACTAGCTGAGCCCTTGCTATCTGTAAGAACTGGCTAGCCCCAGGAGGGATAGTCTCTCCCCAGCCAGAAAAGTTTTTAGAGATGTCAATACATCATAATATATAGTCCCATAAAAAAATATACATATACAGGTTGGGCATGGTGGCATGCACCTGTAGTCCCAGCTACTTGGGAGGCTAAGGCAGGAGGATCACCTGAGCCTGGGAGTTTGATGTTGCAGTGAGCTATGACGATGCCACTGCACTCTACCGTGGGCAATGATGCAAGACCCCGTCTCAATATATATGTGTATATATATATGTATATAAAATACACACACACACAACACATGCAACCGGCCACCCACGCTTTCTGGACATCAGAGTATTCTGCCAACTGGTCTCCGCACTCTGCTGCCGCACTCTCATCCACCCCCACGCCCCAGCACGCAGACAGGTGTCTCTGAATGAAGCTGGGTCCGGTCATTCCCCAGCCTCTGAGGCTCTGTGTCTCCTCCTCATCCCTTCTGTGCCTTTTGTGGTTCTGTCTTTCCTGCCCACCATCCTGTTGTTACCACCACCCTCCCACGATCCAGCCACTCTAAGGTGAGAGAACCTCAGTGTTTTTGCGTGTTCAGGTTTTCTTGTTTTTTAAATATGAGCTTTTTCTCCTGCCATCCTGTTAGAAATGCTGTTCCTGAAATATTCTCATCCCTTCTCATGGTGCTTTTCATCCTTTTCCAGCCCGTCTTCATGCCTTGGGACTTGACTTTAATTTTACCTGTGCAGAGAGGCTTCTCTGACCACCTGCATTAAAGCACTTCCCAGCCTGTTACTCTCCACGGAGCACCCCTTCCCTTCCAGGCACAGTTTCATGCAGCGAGCAAGAAACATCTATGCGCTGGCTGTTCGCTAATTGTTTGCTCGTGAGTGTGGCGAGGCTAAACTGGGTAGAGCTGGGAAGTGAGAGAGGCCTAGATTGTAAACTCAGGGTCATCTTCCCCCCGGGCAGGGGTGTGTAGTTAGCATACCAAGGACATGGAGCCCGGGAACAGAGTGGCTCCCCACAGCCACGTGCCAAAAGGTGGAGCCATCTGACTCAGGAGGCAACTGGAGTCCCTGGGACCATTTACAGTTACTCCCTCACCCTCCTGCATCCGTGGTGGATCTGGACACTTTGCCTCTGAGCCCCAGCATGGCCTTAGCATCCTTCCCAACCCAGGCAGCCTCCTCTGCTAACTGAATTGGTCTGATTTGCCATTGTAGGCCTATGCAATTTAAGGTAGAGCACATTCCTCAGCCCTAGTTAAATATTCCTAAATGTATCCTTTCAGAGAGAATGTAGGTAGAAGTATTTCTTTAAGACCATATTTTCCTCTGTATTTCATTTATTTAATCTACTTTTTCCTCTTTTTTTCCTAGGAGAAAATAATGAATGTCAAAGGAAAAGTAATTCTGTCGATGCTGGTTGTCTCAACTGTGATTGTTGTGTTTTGGGAATATATCAACAGGTAATTATGAAACATGATGAAACGATGTTGATGAAAGTATTGTTTTGACCCTGTTCTGCTAGTATCAGCCAATTCACCAGGCTGAGTTAAAATTAGGATTAACTCAAACCGTAAATAAGGGATTCCACCCTTCCTAATCCCTGAGCCCTAGACTATCTTTAAAATCATTAGATGTCCCAAATAACTTTTGGCTAATTGTCTTCCTTCCTGCCATATTCCTAATATCTTGGTTTTTGTACTGGTAGGCTAGATTCAGACAGAGAGAGGTCAAATGAAGCCCCAAATGTAATTTTTAATAATTTGTATAGTCATATATAGAAATTATCTTAAGAAATTTCAGACAGGAATTTCATGAAAAATCCGCCCTAAATTTTGCAATCCTAAAATATTTGCAGAGTTTAAAGGAGCAATTCAAGTTGTTGACTTTTGCTATAAAATACACTCTGAGTTGCTAGTGATTCATTTCTGCCTGGCTAAAACTTTTGGGTGTTATTATTTTTTTTTAACTCTGGAAAGCAAAATGAATTAAAGATTTCTGAGTTTTCAAATTCATCTGTGGATTCATCCGAAATATATGAGCTGCCTCTGTGCTTTTTGAAACTACTATGCCTTGGAGATTCCAGCTGGAGAGGCTTCTGACAGAAGTCTCCACAAGCAGCTACAGAAA